GCTCTGAGAATCTGTGTTAGCTCTTAACCTTTCCTGCCTAGTGCTTTCACTACCCTCCGCCCCATCTCTGTGACAAAGATGTGTTTTGATTTAATATTCTTGCACCTGCTGATATTCCGTGCCTGTTGCTTCCTATCAGGGCCAAATTGTACCTTTTGTGTCTCTTCTTTCTCCCCACACACCTTCTTTTCTCTTTATGTGCATGGTGTCTGAGTGCTTACAATAAGCAAGGGGAAGAGAGTAAATGAAGAAAAGGGGGTGAGAAAGGCAGAGAACTCACCTGCATGGCACGGGCAATTACCCCATTCACCCGCTTGAGTTCACAAAATTAATTAGCAACAAACACCATTGGGCCAAATTATTTCTGAGCTAATGAACAGGAGCTGCTGTCGGTTTGAAGGCTGCAGCAAGGACCCAGTAAAATCCTAAAACTGGCAGTGGTGTCCCTTTTTTAGCTCACCACCAGAGGGCATAAGGCATGCTTAGCCTTCTGTGCGACTTCCAAGATCTAGGCATGATGTTGTTGTAAAACTGGCCTGTAGGGCAGCAGGGTGATTGTACATGACCTATCAGTTTAAGAGAGGCCTCAGTTGCATTTCCAGCCAAGGATCCCAGTGCTATTTGCAATTAAAATAACAAAAATGCCAGGCTGCATCCACTTGCTCAGGCTGCATCCACACTGCAGAAATAGTGCAGTTTAACATCACTTTAACTGCTATGGCTCAGTGCTGTAGGATTAGTAATTTTGTGAGATATTTAGCCTTCTCTGTCAGAGGGCCCTGGTGCTACAAGAAACTATTACTTGCCAAACTTACTTGAGATGTCATTGTAAACTCAAGTTCCATGGCAATTCTCCTGCATTTTGTGTAAAAAGCACCAGATCTCATCTGATCTTGGAAACCAAGCAGGGTCAGCCCTGGTTAGTACTTGGATGGGAGACCACCATGTGCTGTAGTCTATATTTGAGCAGAAGGAACTGACAAAACTACCTCTCAATATTCTTTGCCTAAGAAAACCCTATCAAATTTCTGCTGTTGCTATAAGCCAGGGGTTGGCAACCTATGGCCTACGGGCCAAGTCCGCTCCCCCCAAGGACTTTGATCGGGCCCCTGGCAAACCCTGCTACCGCCGCATGCGCTGCCACCGCACTGCCACTGCCATTTTGTTTTCCAAAATGGCGGCCATGACTCATTTGTGCATGCACAGTACTCCTGCGCATGAACAAACAAGCCACAGCTGCCATTCTGGAAAACAAAATGGCAACTGCTACTCGTTTGTACATGTGCCAAGTACTCAGGAAGTACTGTGCATGCTCAAGCAAGTGTATGCATGCATGCACAGTACTCTGGTGTACTGTATATGCGCACGCGCGCAAGCGCACACACTGCCATTTTCCCCACCACCATCGGCCCGCGGAAGACCAGGGGATCCCCGGCCCAGCCCCAGGTAAGGGAAACTTGCTGACCCCTGCCATAAGCCAACAGTAGACTTGAAGGCACATACAAACAAAAAGGAGGACATTTGCACCCCTGCCCCCCAGAGTTAGGAAGTTGAAAGTTCCTTTTTGCACTGCAATTCCCTAAATCTTCCCAGTTGCCATACTGCCTGGGGAAATCTAAGAGTTATCATCCCAAAGTTAACCTCTGCAAGCTGTTGCTGCATGCTAATAGTGATGCACTTATCCATCTGCTTCTGGCCCATGTCAGTTTCAATTTCTTAATTTCATAAAGACATTCTGTTCCATTTTCATATCTATCTGTAAATGCTATTTAAAATCACATGAAAAATTACATTATTTACACCCATGTACATTTTTGAACACATTTTGTTCTAAAAATTGATCTTGAGAGTCAGTGTGGGATAGTGGTTTAAGTGTTGGACTATGATTCTGCAGACCAGGGTTTGATTTGTGGCTTAGCCACAAAGCCCATTCAGTAACCTCAACCTCAGGGAAAGGCAATGGCAAACCTCTTCTGAACAAATCTTGCCAAGAAAACCCCATGATAGGTTTGCCTTAGGGTCATCATAAGTTGGAAACGACTTGAAGGCATGCACACACAGAGACTCATATTTATATTAAGTGTGTATAAGATGGCAGCCCTAATGATCCTCCCTTCAAAATAAGAGAGAGAGTCCATGCATGTATTCATAAAGTGAAAGTATGGTTACCCAATGAGTATCTGTTAAGTTAACAAATTGGGGATTCTGCATTCCAACTTTCTTGGCGGTCATGTTCTTGATTCCCAGTAACACATCTCAGCCTTTGAAAAATGAAGACTCAGCAGGACAGAATAGTGATCATCAGCAGCAATGAAGCTCTCTAACTTGTTTTACAGACAGGCTGATAAAGACTAAGAGGCATTTAATTTTCTCATGATGGGATATCACTTACATAAAGCTGCGGTTCTGACTCTTGGTCTTCTCTCTGCCACCCTGTCTCTATTATGAGTGAAAAATATTGACAGCAAAGTTTAAAAGACTTAGCAGGTTCATTCATGTCTTCTAAAACTAATCTCTCAAAACTCCCCCTTTCAAGGCAACAGTTCCCAGATGCTCTGTGAAATATATGTAAAGAGACAGCTTAGTAGGTTGATGCTATTAGAGATAGATAGAGATAGTTGGTGAATAAAGCAACTCAACATCAATGAAAGTAGGGAGAACCTGTATCCCAGGAGGATACAATCAACTTTAAAATTAATTAATTAATTAATCAATTTAATTTCTATGCCACCTTTCTCTTGGAGGTAGGACCCAAGGTGGCTTACAAAAGAATCAGCTAATAACTAGACAGAAACAACAATACGGTTTTTAAAGAAAAACAATTAGAAACAATCACATTAACAACTGATTAAACATTTAATGATACAACTGATATCAGGAATTTATGTTAATTACAAGTCAGATGTTCTGGCTTTCATTTTCTTCACTTTGAAGAGTGTGAGAGGTAAAGGAAATACTTGTTTCCCTGAGCTGCAATGAGGAAGAGTTGGCTATAAAGGTAAGAATTGCTTCTGGCAGTTCAGACAACAATTGAACTGAATGAAGAAGTAAAAATAAAAATAACTGATATTTTCCATATCTTTAAGAATGATTGTTAATTTGAATGGAACATATACCATCTGTTGTTTGTTTGTGGGAGGGGGAAGGAACAAAATAATTGTATATTATGAATTATGGTTCGTATAATCCATACTATGTTCTGTGTAATTAGTAAATCATATTAAAAATAAACTTTTTTTTTTTAAAAAGCATAACTTCTGAGACACATCTTGTCTCAGAAATCCATACCTTCCCAAAATGTACAGGATGTTTCATATATATAAAATTCAAACAAAAATCCACCAAATAATTATACCTCTATTGGCCAACTGAAATGCGCAATATACTCATGTACAGGATGCAGCTATGGGGATTAGGACATTGTCCCCCATGAGATTCCTGCTCTTCCAATGTAATATTTCTACAGTTCCCAAATTTCTAACATCACAGTAACTTCAACTGAAGTTTTAAGTTACTGTGATGCTAAAACTTTGGGAATTATAAGAATATTTCATTGGGGAGGGGGGGGCTGCATTTAGAAATACAGATTAAGCATCAAAGGAAAAGTGAAATTACTGAGGGAATGCAAACGCAGCAAATAGAAGAGTTATAGGTGCAGACAATTTTCAGTGTTTCACTCTCTGCATTGCTAGAAATTTGAGAAATGAAAGGAAAATGCATGACAGAAGGGTCAGAATCCCTAGTGAAGGGGCAATGCTCATCTTTCTAACACTTCTATAGCTACATCCCTTTGCACTGTAGATGATGCTGTAAGGATAGTGTTCCTCTGCAATACCCTTAAAATTCTCCCCTGTGAATTTACTACTCCCCAGTTGCCAAAATCTACCCCTCTCTGCTACTGCTGCTGCTGTTTCTTTTTCTTCTTTTTCTTCTGTTATATAGCATTTATGAATGTTTGATTTGGGGAATGAAGAAAATTTCATAGTAGGGGCAGAAATTTTATTTCGGAGGAAGGGAAATGTCTTCACTTTCCCCTTCCTACATCTGAGGTCTAGTGTACGGACACACTTTAGTCCATGTCAAATAATGTGTTCATAAATGTCTACTAAAATGTGCCTCCAATCTATACCTCCAATTAATAAAATGCACCTCAAATAAATATGCTTCCACAAACAGAGTTTAGTCAATGAAAAATAATGTGTTCAAAAATGCATACCAACATGTCCCCCAAACACATGTGGATTTCCATGAAGGAAAGAGGGAACTAGTCTCAAAACCTGATGCAAAACTTGTATGGAACAGGAAAGCCACTAGGGCTCTGAGAAATGCAATGAGAATAAGACTGGCAGGTGTATTTTTTTTTAACAGCCTTACCTTTGATGAGTCTTTTAATTTGCTTCCCTTTCCATTAAAAGGTATTCTCAAGCCCTGCGGCTTCTTATCATGATGGTTTAAAACTCAATATGCTATGATTCCAGGGCCTTCTCTGTTTAGGAAGCTATAGCCAGCCCTGACCTTTCAAGTCTCCCTATGATTAAAACTCTTATTAATTTCCCGTAGGCTGCAGACATTGTAGAGCAGCAAGGTGCTGGGGATTCATTAACATGTGGGCCTTTAATTAGTCAGCAAGGAATCCATCTCTGTCCTGATTTCACCTAAAAGAAAAAAAGAGCCAGCAGGACCGTTGCTAAAATAGAAGCGATTTGGAGAAAACCGACCTTGTAAAAGGAATTTCTTATATGTATAGGATATATTTTCATAGGAATGCCCAGAATTAGGATGGATGCTCCTGTCTGTTATCCTTCCATGCCATTTCCTTCATCTTCTTTTGAATTAAAAGAGTTTGTGTTGTGTGCCTTCAAGTCATTTCCAACTTGTGGCAACCCTAAGGTGATCCTATCATGGGGTTTTCTTGGCAGGATTTGGTCAGAGGAAGCTTGCCATTGCCTTCCCTGAGGCTGAGAGAGTGTGACTTGTCCAAGATCACCCAGTGGGTTTCATGCCCAGGCAGGGATTCAAACCCTGATCTCGAGAGTCATAACCCAACACTCAAACCACTATGCCACACTGGCTCTCTTTTTTTGAATTAATTTTTTAATTAATTTTTAAATAAAAACAGTAAAATTCACAGCAAAAGTACTAAATATTCAAAGAGAGAGAGAGAAAAACAAAAGAAAAAAGAAAAAGAGTAAAAAGTTGCATCCATATATAGTGTGTGTGTGTGTATGTGTATCTGACACTAAAATTAATGTATCATTAAGTCTGAATCTACACTGCAGAAATAATCCAATATGACACTGCTTTAGCTGCTATGGCTCAATGCTGTGGAATTATGGAATTTTAGTTTGTTGTGGCAAAAGAGCTCTCTGATAGAGAAGGCTAAATGTCTCACAAAACAATAATTCTCAGAATTCCATATCATCAAGCCATGACATCTAAAGTGGTGTGAAACTGGATTATTTCTGCAATGTGGATGCAGTCTAAGATACATTAAGACTATTGCCCAAGAAACAGCAACTAACAAAAGGGCTTTCACTTCACCCCCATTCTAAAGTGTAATGATAGAAAGACAGAAACCAAAAAAGGGGAAAAAATTACTTAGCCATTATACATCCAACTAAATAACCATACTACGATTGTTAATACCCATGACCACAAATTATTACATCATTTATATTCTATTTGCTTAAAAAGTCCACGAATGGTTTCCAATCTTTCAAAAAAGAAAAAAAAAAATCTTCAATTCACTTGTCCTTTAAAACCACCTTAATTTAGCAATTTGCCTTCTGTGTTATTCTCACATGATTTATTTACCAGTCCTTTCTGGTTCCACATTAATCTATAACTTTTTAAAAAATCATGGAAATTCATATTTAGATACAAGCTACCGTTTCATAAAACAAGCATTTTTGTACACAGTTTATAAAATACATTATTACTTGCATTTTATAAAAAAATACTGCAGTCTGATGCTTTTTTTTTTCGAGTAATGAAATGTATCATAAAACTTAAGAAAATGCACAAACTGAAATGTCAATGTGTTCAGATAGCTTAGTAAACCCAGGAAACAAAAATCACTTTCAATGTAGACTAAAATACTGAAACATCTCTAATCCAGAGCTGTATAAACACTGTGTGTCATGCTTCTCCATTGGAGATGATTTTTTTTTCTAATTTTGTCTCCAAAAGAAGCAGCAAGAAATTTGAGTGGAATCTCTCCCCCTACACCAGGCGTAGGCAACCTTTCCCCTTTAAGGGCCGAGGGACTTCAGCTCCCAGAAGCCTCAGCCATATTGGCCAATACTTCCATGTTGGTCAATAGCTCCTGGGATTCTGGGAGCTGAAGTCCCTCGGCCCTTAAAGGGGAAAGGTTGCCTACCCCTGCCCTACACTATAAGTAGATCTTCAAAGACTGTGCAGTTTTAAAAGACTATTCATAGCTAAGGACTTATTCTGTTCAAATTTTGCATGTGGCATCTTTTTGTGTGTGTGTGTGTGTGTGTGCAGCAAGGAGTCTTTTCTGTAGATTTTTCTGCATTGAATTTTCTGTGTGAATTTTGTATAAAATAAGTCAAAGACTGCAAAGATTCTCTCCTGCACAAAATCTTTTCAGCATGGTTTTCTGAAACCAACCCCGCCATCTGATTGTTCCCTCCCTCAAAATATTTTCAAATATTCCTTCCATCCCTCTTCTTCTTATCTATCCTCCTGTAAGAGCCATAAAAAGTATTCGTAAATTTTCTCATTGTAGATGAAAAAAGATGTCTTGACATGCCAAGATAGATAGGAAGGAAGGAAGAAAGAAAGAAAGAAAGAAAGAAAGAAAGAAAGAAAGAAAGAAAGAAAGAAAGAAAGAAAGAAAGAAAGAAAGAAAGAAAGAAAGAAAGGTATACTGACTGTTATGGTTTCATGGTATTGAATTCTGGGTATTTAGTTTTGTGAGACATTTACCATTCTCTGTCAGACAGTTGTGGTGCCATCAACAAACTACAATTCCAAAAAATCCACAGCATTGAGTATGACAGTTAAATTGATGTCAAACTGGATTATGTCTGCAGTACAGATGCAACCACAGAGACATGAATGATCCCCAAAAGTTGAACCAGCTCCTGCTGCCAGATCTTTGTCTGCCATTTCCCAAATGAACACTTACTGGGTTACTGCTTTAAAAAAAAACTTTCTTCAAAGGCTCCAGCCTCTGCTAGACTGCCTGAGGAGATCCCACAGGGATAAAGCTCCTCTGGTGAGTCTTTCTCATGTTGCCTTCTAACTTTTTGCATTAGTCTTTTGCTAACTTGATAGAGATGCAGATACAATTGGGGTCACCAAGTCACTTTGCAAGGTTGATGTACACATTAGAGAACCAAATAAGATTAAAGATAATGCTATTGTCACACATGCAAGAATGGGATAAAGGAAGATTTACATCTGCACCTCCTTCTCTTCTTCAGTCAATGGCTAAGCCTGCCTTTGATGTTTGTTTCAAGGTATATAACACAGCCAGGCCACCTGGAATGCTGTGCTGTGGCTGATGAAAGCAGGAGGATGTGTCAAGACTAGAGATGAGGGGAAAATTTCATTTTTGTTTGCTTGCTTTTAAAATAAATTCTCCTTTTCCTCCATATTCAGAATAGAAAGGACTTGAAAGTTCTGAAGTGAACTTTGGAAAAATAGAAATTGCCAGATCCATCCATTCAGGACAGAAACTTAAAGTTCTTAATTCTTAAAAGTCTGAGTTTCAGTCCCGTGTATTCAGCCATGAGTGCATCTATGGACCTGAGTAGTTGGACCAGGAAAGCACTGGGGTTGTTCCTTGGATTGGTGCAGGGATGGGCAGATGTTCACACACATTTCTCCATGCTAACTCAGGACCCAGGACTGGAACACCATTCCTTATCTTGCCAGCCTTCAACCCAATTGGGAAGCCCTCCAGTTGCCACGTCTGATGTGGAAACAGGATACCTGGCTGCACTGATGTGGCCAGGCACCCTGTTTCCATGTCAGATGTGGCAACTGGGGGGGGGGCACTTTTCAGTCTGATAAATGGCTGGCAAGCTAAGAAGCACAGGAGGTCTATCTGAACAGCCTGATTTTGCCACAAAGTCCTAGAAGGATTTTGCACTGAGTCCCAGAAACTCAGTGCAAAACCAGGGTGGGGTTGAAGGGAAGCCAGTCTTTTTGGGCTATATGGACAACCCCTACATTGTAGAAATAATGCAGTTTGATACCTCTTTAGGTGTTGTAGCTCCATACTATGGAATCTTGGGATTTGTTGTTTTACAATGTCTTTAGCCTGCTCTGCCAATGATTGCTATTGCCTCACAAAACTGCAAATCCCAGAATTCCACAGGATAATAATAATAATAATAATAATTTAATACCCCACCTATTGGAAAACCAATCCAGGTGGCTTACAAATTAAAATCAAATACAAACCCCACAACAATCCCTCTCCCCACTTAAAACAGTATTAAATCACAACAGCTTAAAAAGTAATATAACAATTAAAACTTTAAATTGAATGACGCAATAGACACTCCACTATGGCCTGTAGCAGTGTTCCTGTCCATCCAAGATGGGGCCACATAAGGAACAGTGCAGGTTAAGGCCGGGAAGAATTAATCTGGAAAAGCCTGCTGGACGAGATCTGTCTTGACAGCTATGGGGCTATGACACTTAAAGTGGTGTCAAATTGCATTATTTCAACAGTTCAGATGCATCCCATGTTAGCGCTGACTTATGGTTGCCACTTCTTTTTTTCTCCAAGAGGATCTTCATCATTTGTAACAGAAGTGGGCAGCTATGAAGGAGATGGGGGCCATTTTTCATCCCTGCACCCCCATCTCTTTGCAACACACCAAACATGACCAAAGTGATATCACATCATTTTCAGTTTCCATTTCCAGCTGAATGTTTTTATTATTCAAAGATGTGGGGATGTGGGGGTCGTGAGGTTTTGAGTGGTTTTGAGCCACTCTGTGGTTTTGAGCCACTCTGAGTAGATTTGGAGATGATATATTATCCCAACATTTTTAATTAGGGCTGGGGGGCTTCAGGGACCCCTTGTTCTAAAAAGCTGTGTGCAGACAGCAGGTCACACTTTGCCTACCTTTGGCCTAAAGCAGTGAATTTAATTGTGAAGTTCATTTTTTAAAAAAGTTCTAAAGCAGTGATTCTCAAACTTTGGTTCTCCAGTTGTTCTGGACTTCAGATCCTACAATTCCTGACAGTTTGGTCAAGCTGGCTGGGGCTTCCAGGAGTTGAAGTCCAAAACACCTGAATGACCATAGTTTGGGAATCACTGGCATAAAGCTATATAGTAGGCAGGTACAACATGATTTTCTTCATGCTGGGAATCAATATTACCTATTAATTTTGGCCCATGAAGATGGGTCAAATATTTTGTTTCAGTTCGGGTTTTTTTTTTTGCAGGGGGATACCAAAATTCAGAAATCTCACATTTGTGACAGGAAGCATTGAGAGTCTTGTTGTTGTTGTTATTGTTTAATAATGAGTATAAAAGAAAGAAAATAAAACTGACCCCCAATTAGACAGGGGTCTAAGATTATTACATGCTGCTATTAAACTGCAATTAGACCCGGGAAAAAAGTGGCTTTGGCAATACGTATCATCCAACATCACCTACAGTCTTTAGCTGGTGCATCCCTCAAGTGTGGTTAGGGCATCCCTTTTCAAAATTTCAAATTTTATCAATGAAATTTATGAATCTTGATTCATCATTCAGCAATTGATTGAATGGACTACCCCTTTGTTGTTGTTAACTGCCTTCAAGTCAAGCTCAACACATGGTGATCCTGTGGATAAGACATCTGCAAGACTCCCTGCCCTCTGCTGATCTGCTTTGGTCTTGTGATCTCCTTAATATTCATCTAACTTGTGGTCTTCCTCTCTTTCTGCTTCTCTCCACCTTTCCTAGCATTATGACCTTTTCTAATGAGTCATGCCTTCTCATGAGCAAAGTACATCAGTATCAGTCTGATCATCTTGGCTGTCTCTACATACCCTCAAATATTTTACTGGGACACATGTGGCCAGGGAACAGCAAAGTGTG